GCCACAGCCGCCCTCCGAGCCTTTGCCCCTGTGGACGGTGGCGAGAGGCACATGCGCCCTGGGCGCACAGGAGGTCGCGCCGCAGCGTCCTCCTCAGCCGCCCATGACGGGCCACGGGGCAGCTGCCACCTTGACGGACAGAGCAATGGTCTGTCGGCTGCAGCGTGCCGTTCGGTCGCGTCCGCAGTGGCCAGCGGCGCCGACGGCTGGGCCCCAGAACTGGCTTTCATCGGGCGCTCTGCGACTCGCGCGACTCCCCACGCGCTGGCCACTGAACCCGCACCACCTGAGCGCATCGCCGGAACCCCTGCTCGGAACCCCAGCTCTGGGCCTGGCTCCACCGGGGCCGCGTCCCGGGAGGGGCTGGGGCGTGCTGGAGGCGGTGGGGTGGCCAGGGGCGGCCCTCAGGGGGCCGCGGACACCTTACCTCCAGGAAGTGCTCTGCCTGCTGCTCTCGGTCCAGCTTCCTGGACGTCGTGGAGATCAGGCCTGCGTGGAAACGAGAACAGGCGGCTCTTCAGTGTGGGGGTGAGCAGCCCCCCGCAGCCGTGGCCAGGCAGGACCCCAGGGAGCGGGCAGGTGTCCGGCCCCCTCAGAACAGAGCCTGCGTCTGAGCCCTCAGGCATGCCGGCTCCCCGCGCCTCGCCACTGCCGCGGGGTCAGCCTCGTAGGCTGCCCGCCTGGGGAGCTGGCTCTGGTGTGCGGGGCCGCGGGAAGTGCCCTGTGGAGCCCCGGGCTGCTGGCCGTGCCGGCCGCCCCGCCGACACAGCGCCCCATGAGGAGACTCACGTCCGCCGCTGGCCCCGACGCACCTGCGCAGAGCACAGCGCCTGCGGGCTGCCCCCACCCAGAGCCCCGAGGCCGCTGCTCACAGGGCAGGAGGAGGCCGGGCCTTTGGGGACGGCCATCCTGCTGTGCGCGACACCCGCCCGGCTGGGGGCGCGGGCGGGGTCCCTGTGGACGCCGTCCTGGCCCAGGCCCCCCTGTGCCGTCCACCTGGGCGTGAGCCTCAAACTCTCCCGGGGCACAGCTGCTCCTCTGCCCCATCCCGCCGGCTGCCTGGACTGGCGTCCCCGGCGTAGGTGGGGGCCCCCACCTGTGGGCCCTGATGGCGGCGCAGCGGCTGTAACTCCGGAAAGCCAGGACAGCGCCAGAGAAGCCGGCCAGTGACCAGCGAGACACCAAGCCACACCGGGGTCTGCCGCTGGGCTGGGAGAGACCAGAGAGCGGCAGCACCAGCTGGCCTTCTGCGGCCGGCCTGCCCGCGTCCCCGCGCCGAGCCAGCGACGGGGTCCCACCGCAGCCTGCTGTCCTGCTGCGGCCAGCGGCCCCGCGGCCAGGGTGCTCCCGTGACCTCGCCCATGTCCTCCGCAGAGTCCTTCCCCACCCACGGGCCCTCAGGCACCCCACCAAGCCCCGGGGCGGGCCGATGGACTGC